ACATTTGTTGAGTGCCTAATACATGCTAGAGAATAAATACTTGCAGTATCTCATTTAGTCCTCATAAGCTGGGATTGTTTCAGAGGGTCAAAAAGATTAGCTCATTGCTTCTAGTTTTTTGCCAATACCAAATGATTGCCAAAGCATGAGTTCCAAAGCCAAACAGATCTCGTCAGATCTCATCCTCAATACTTCCTCACTATATAACCAAGTTGCATAATTTCTCTATGCCTAAGTATCTATGTGGATGTAAAGATTAAATATTTATAAGATGCTTAGTAGAGTACCCGACACATAAAAAGTTCTCATTACTAGCAGCACTAATAATACTTTTCTATCGGGAATACCCTATTGACTTCTAGAGTCACTGGTTCTACCACTAAACAATTATGTCACAGGCGACAGAGTCATCAAGTGGGATAAAGTTACAAGAGAAATGCTTCTTGAAATTTGTCCAGCATCAGATGGCAAAGGGGATGGTGGGGCTTCCTTTACCAAAATGTTTTTGAGCTAATTAATACGTTGAAAAGGAAACTGAAAAATGAAACTGAACTTCTGTTTTAGGAAACTCAAAAACGAAACTTAAGTTTTTCTTCCTTCCGAAGCACAAGTTCATCCACATAGTATTATCTACTACCAACCCTCAGACAAGTTGTTGGGGGAGGGAGGAGATACACCCAATCCACACATGAAAGTTAACATCACCCTGTGGATAAAGCTGAACTTGTTTTCCTTAATCTGCCACACATTTCTTTTTTAAGATTTTATTTATTTGACAGAGAGAGACACAGCGAGAGAGGGTACATAAGTAGAAGGAGAGGGAGACGCAGGCTTTCCGCCAAGCAGGGAGCCCAATGTGGGGCTCGATCCCAGGACGCTGGGACCATGACCCGAGCTAAAGGCAGACGCCCAACAATTGAGCCACCCAGGTGCCCCTTGCCACACATTTAAGTAACTTGGCCAATGTACCCAAGCCCAGTTTTTTCACTTTCCTCTCCTATAAAATTGATAGAGCTGACCCAACTTAGCAGAATTACTTGGAGACTTAAAAACAACAAAATAAGATTGTATACAATGCTGTGAGGGTAAAAATGTTATGAACACACGTCATAGTCAAGAGGATTGTACCATTTCATGACATCAGATGCTAAATCCATTTTTGTACATTTTTTGTTTTGCACTTTGTAGAGGAAATTTTATTGTGACAACATAAAGGAACATTTGATAAAACATAAATACTGTATTACTGAAATCTAAGTTTTACAAGTGTTACTTCCTTATTTACTTTTCAAACCCTCAAAATATCAGAAGAAAGTCTTCCTTCTAATAAAACTTGATGTTTTAAAGAATGAAAAATTGTATTGTTTCTCCCACATTCTTCCAACAGTCATGCAGCTCATAAAATAAACTTCAAGTTCTTTCTCATCTGTTCCACAGCTAAACTCAGATGACATACTGCAAACTTAGGGAAAACCAAGAATCCATTTGGTTTTGTTTTAGAAAGTTCTAAGCAAACAATCATCATAGCAGGAGTGATGCTTTCGGAACTAACTGCTTTGGTGACTAGGGTTCTAGACACATGTTATCACATACATATCCACTAGCCATGTATGAATGTTAAGAATATTAGATGTGGCTAGTCTGATTAAGATGTGTAAAACAACACATGTAACTTTGAAGACTTAATACCAAAAATAGGGTAAATATCTCATTAAAATTTTTTTATACTGATAACACCTTAACATGATAATATTTAAGAATTTGGGGGAACAGGTAAAAATACGGAAATTATTAAAGTACTATGATAATAAAATATATGTATTCAATTACTGCAATAAAATGACATTATCTGGATATACTTATTTAAATAGGTGTTAAATTTTATTAAATTAGTAACAAATTTCAAAAACGGATTTCACCTGTTTCTTTTTGCTTTTTTTAATGATGCTACCAGAAAATTAAAGATAACATTTTTGACTTGATTATCTTTCTACTGGGTGGTGTTACTCTAAACCAGTTATTTCCAATTCAGACACCTTATCACTACCTTTGTTAAAGTGAACTGTACCCATTCACCAGCTCTCTTAGGGAAAAGAGAAGGCTATTTATTTTTCAGAGTCATTCATGCTATGGCTAAGGAATAAGTCATTCTTTACTTGAGAGATGCTGTCAATCTTAGGTGGGCCTGCTCATTCATACAAAACTCAATTTCCTTCCCATTAGGTAGAAAATCTTGCTCACCTCTGTGGTTAGTATAGGGATTCCTTGGCCTGCCCTCCAAGCAAGGTCTTCTGCCCTCCATGTCTGAGTTACCCGAATTCCTTCACGTTCACGTTACTTTCAGTTATCTGGAAATCTGCAGATTGAGAGAGATCAGGGTCCTTGAAATACAGCATCTAGCAGAAAAAAACCCAAAATAGCATCAAGCCAGTCCTTCTGCCTCTACATCTTAATGATCTGTTAACTAAGAGTTAAACACAGATTTAATCATGGGCACGAGTGTTCAACTCTGTGAATGCCCAAATATGATATAAAATGTTAAGTTCACAATTTAGATGATTTCAAATTTCCCCTTCTCTTTACCCCTGCACTTCACTGGGGTAGAAAGAATTATCAATTCCCATTCAAAACTACTATTTGGTTTATGCTTTTAGTCAAGTTACTTAAATCAGTTGCTAGGTTTCATTTTCCTCTCCCATAAAGCAGACAAATATTGTTTCCAGGACAGAAAGTAGTACATTTCTGTTAATCCAAAAATGATGCATTCACCATCCCACCCAGCATTTCTCTTATACAGTATTTTACAGCTTACAGTATTCTGTAGTTTGAAAATAATCAGTAAGTAGTTATCCCTTATCCTATTCTTTGGAATGCAGCCAAACTGATTAAGCCCTCTATTCTACTGAATCAAGAGAAGGAAATTACATGTTTCAATAACCAGAGGTTTAGCCTCTACAGGATGCTGTTTCCCCAGGATCAGCTAGAAATCTGTAGTTCTTTCCTTCTCCCCTTTCTTCTACCTTGAAGGTTTTTGACAGTGATCCTGTAAGAGGAAGAGGAAGCCCCTTTAAGGGAACTTCTTAGGACAACTCACACACATCATATGAGCTGGGGCTAGGGAAAGAGTGGGTGACTCAGAGTCCTCAGCAAAGGGATTTCTGAGACTGTCCCTCTCACTGAGTTTTAAAATATTCATACTTGGAAACTGTGAATAGATTTGGCATTACATGAGGAGTAGCTTTTACCCTCATCAGAAAAAGGAGTCCTTTTCCTTCCTGCTGGGAATATTGTGGGTGAATCTCTTTCCTCACCATATCAAACCTAGCTCTCAAGTGCAGATTCAGTACTTTGGTTTTTGTTGGGTTTTTTTTCCCTTAATTAAAAAAAAAAATCTGAGGAGAAAAATGCCTTCTTTCTCTTGTTGAAAAATACTAAAATAGAAACTCAGAAATTTTCTGGGATAAAAGAAATGGGAAAAAACAAAAAAGAAAGCAAAGGGAGGAGCAAAGAGCACAGGAAATGCCACGGAAAAAAGGCAGACTAAAGTGGGTCTCTTTGGGACTGAAGGCCTAAAAGGGCAGGAAGAAGAAAATCAGTGAGGGTCAAGCCGGTAGAGGGGTCAAATCAGAGGAGAATGGTAATTACCAGCGTGGGGGGAATGGAAGAGACTGAAACGCGCAGCCAGAGATGGGTATCAGGGAAGTCTCCAGGGTCCCTAGAGGGTAGCAGAAGGAAGGATGGAGGAATCCCTGGCACCCAGGAGCCCAGGGGGTCCTGATGGAAGTATTAGGGGGTTGAGGGGGAGTCAGGGCCACGTGGGTAGCATGAAGAAGGTGCCATGGCCAGGCTGGGCCGGGAATGGCAGGGGAGGTAGGGGGGCCTTCAGAAGAGGGTCGGGCTGAACTCAGCTGGGGGGCGCCTCTAAGTAGGGATGGGGAGTGCAGGTGCTGAGGGTGCTTCCTAAAGCTGGGGGGAAAGAAGGCGACGGCAGGTAAGGACAGACGAAGATGAAGGGGGCGGCTGGGGCAGAAAGCGAGGGCAGAGATGGGGGTGGGGGGCAGACCTAGCTGAGGGGGTCAGAGGTAGAGGTGGCGATGGAGCCGCCGAGAGGGCAATGGGGCTCTGAGGGGGGCACCTGGGACTCTGAGATGGATGATGGGGAGACGGGGCGCCGAAGGGGTGGCGGGGTACTAAGGAGCCGGCAGGGATGCTAAGGCGAGTACGGGGCGCCGGGGAGAAGCGCCGCCAGAGGCAGCGGCGGGCGGCGCGGGCGCCGGGGGCCGCGGCGGGCAGAAGCAGGTGCGGGGCCGGGGCGCGGGGCGGGGGTCACTCACCCGGCTCCGGCGCGTCTTCTCCCAGCCGCCGCCTTCGCACTGGCGCTCGGGCCCAGGAAGGTCCGCGGCCCCGCCTGGCGCCGCGCACTTTCGGTTTCCTTTCCCCGCAGACACTGGGCGGGGCGAGGGGCCGGGCGGGCGGCCGGGAGGAGGAGGAGAATTGGGGTGGCGGGGAGGAGGAGACCTGGGCTGGGGGAAAGAGGAGGGGACCTCGGGGCTGGGAGCGAGGGGGCCGGGCGCTGTGGCACTGCCGGCGCCCCCGCCCTCAGGCTGGGCCGGGGCTGGCGGACCGGCTGGCGTCGCCTCAGCTCCCCCCGGCGGCGGGACCGGCGGGCTCGGGCGGGCGCAGATGAGGGGAGGGAACTGCGGGGGGAGGGTTAACAGTGCTCAAGGCCGTCTTAGGCCTCAGTCCGCCCCGGAGGAGGGGGAACCCGGCGGGCGGCTTAGTGCGTGCGAAGCGCGACATGGCGGCGAGGCCGACAAGCCCCGGGGGACCCGAGTGTACGGCGAAGGGGGCGGGGCTAGAGCGGCCTTGACAACCCTTAGATCGCCTCGGGCCGGGCGGCTCGGAGACTACATTTCCCAGAGGGCACCGCGTGCCGCGGGACGGAAGGGGAAGCGCCCCGGGCTCAGTGCGCAGGCGCGGGCGTTTCCCCTGGCTATATAAGAGAGGTCTGGAGACCGTCTCGTTCTTTTGCGTTTTCGGCGCTTTCCTCCTTGTCTTTCTTTGGTGGTTGCTTCGTCCGTTGCTGTGCGGGCCCGGGAACGCGGGTTTGCTGTTGTGAGTGGTGAGTGGAAATACTGCTGTTTTCCCTTCGAGATCCCAGTTCCTCCTTTTTCCTCTTTGCCGTCGCCCCTGCCGGTGGCTCCCTCTGCTCTGACCCTAAATACGCCTTAAGGCGTCGGGGAGACCAGTTAAAACTGGAAAAATCCGCGCCTGTGTGCGGACCTGAGTCCTTGGCTGGTGTAGATGATGACTTCTCTTTTTTCCCCATCAGATCGACAATGCTGACGTCTTTGAACACTTGCCAGTTAGTTCTGATAAACCGGCCTGAAGAGGCACGGCCATGTTCTGATCCCAACCGTGAGAAGATGGCGATTGATGCCCTTTTTTTGTTGGTTTGCAGGTCAGTGCGATCAGAGGGTACAGAATGGATCTCCGAAGAGGGGTTCGCCGCTGGACCTCCAAGAGAACCCCCTGTAGACTTGTCCAGCCTTCTGTCTCCTGATCTCGGGAGTAAGCATTTGTATCCTGGCCTGTTGTAGGAAACGCGTGTTCTGGGAACCTCTTCGTGTGCTAGGCAAACTTGGGGGAAAAAAATGAAGATTTAACTGTAGCCAATTTTACTTATAAGTAAAGTGCGCTGAACACTTCGTTTTATCACAGTTCTAAAAATATGTATCTGTTAGACTTCGGTGAAGAAACAGGTTTAGGAAAAATAATTACCCAAAGGGAAAAATCTCTTTAAAGTGAAAAGATGTTATTCTTGAACGTCTCTTGAATGCTTCTGAAAGTACATTTCTAAGTGGAGGCTGGCCGCGCAGGCGGGTGGTTGAAAGAATTTACTAGAGGCAGAACAAGAGGAGGTGTTTGTTGGATACACCGCAAGGGAGCTGCAAGCAGGAGAGCAAAAACTGCCAGGAGGGCAGTGGTGGGCGTCTATAGTGAAGGGAGAAGGTGAGGAGGTATGGGAACGAATGGAGTTTTCCTTTTTTTGGTACCTGTGCCCAGTTTTAAGTAGCCCGTTGGTCTTCCAGGGCTTACAGATATTTTGAGGTGGGTTGCCTAAAGGACTTGTTTGTGTTCAGCCAGATGGTCACCATGGGCCCTGTTAACCTTATCCAGGTTTCCATTGCTCAAACCTTTTTCCTGAAAGTGGCGTCTACAAGTGAGGACATTATTTTGATTTTATTTTTTTTTTAAGTACTCTACACCCAATGTGGGGCTCAAACTCACAACCTAGAGAACAGGAGTTATGTGCTCTACCGACCCAGCCATCCAGGCACCTCACGTGAGGATTTTTTTCTAAGGGAAAGCTAAGTTTGGTTTTGGTTGACCTAGCCACTCAAAACTAATTCTCAACTGTGTACCATTTAATTTGCTTGACTCCTTAAGGGCAGGACTTATTGGGGGACAGATGTATCATAAAACTTACTGTGCCAGAGTGTTCCTGTAAGTCAGGTTTTTAGTGATGGCATTTTGCATTAAAATGTAATATCCTGACCCTTGGTCAAAACGCTGTGGTCACCGAAACTCCGCCAAAGCCAACCAGTTTCCCACAACTCTTGAGAGCCACACTGGCCTCTCAAATACAAGCTCAGAAGGCAGAGGTGTTTCTTTTAGCTGTTACTGGCAACAACAGGATACAGATCTCAAATATTGGGTTGCAGGTACAGAAGCAGACCAAATCTTACTCCTCCTTAGGGCTTTTTCTAAGAATGAGAACTTTCTCCTGGCATATATGATGACTGAACTTTTTTCCCCAACAGATCGACCATGTTGATCTAACTTTTTTAAGCCAGTTTCTGTCTGATATGCCAGTTTGAGCGGCTCCCTTGTCCCCCACTCCCTTGGGCATCTAGCTGATGGGAGCTCATAGTTTGTTTTTTCATCTCAGAGTTACTGTTGGCGGAAAGCGGACTTGGAGTGGACCAGGAATGAGATGTTGGTAAGTGATATCCACATGGCTGAATAGACAGAGAAGATCTGGAAAATGGGAGAGATAATAACTCCTTTTTATAAGTTAATTTAAGTAATCCCTACATCCAGCATGGGGCTCGAACTCTTACCCCAAGATCAAGAGTCGCATGCTCTTCCGAGCCAGCCAGGCATCCCTACTTCTATTTTAAATGTGGGACTATCTGTCCCCCTTGTGTTCTGCTCTAACTCAAATTTGGCCATTGCAATTGATGACAACTTTTTTCCCCATCAGATCGACCATGTTGATCTAACTGAACCATTAGCCAGTGTTTTGTCTGATGCATTGGCCCCACCCTGTTTTCTGCTTAAACTATCTTCTGTATGGTGTTTTTTTAAGTGGTGTGTTTGTTTTCTTCCCCCAGGAATCCGGTCGCTTATCTTGTTTTTACGGGCTTACTTCCTGCAGGTTGGGAGCCCTGTGAGCCACAGGGCAGTAAATAGATGCGGCCTGATGTGCTTGGTTCAGTCTGTCCTGCAACAGGTGAGGTTTCTGCAAATGGCATTAAGTGTCAGCCCCTTGTAAGGTGATTAAATATGCCCCCATAGAGGTGTTGAGTTTGCCCACTGGGGAGTAACCTGGGAACCCACTTCCCAAGTGGTAGAGTAGGACTGTTGACCTATTGGTACTACTGGGTCCTGGAGGTCTCACACATCCCAAACAAGTAGCTTTTTACATCAGGATTAAATATGAATTGTAATCTTTCTTTTTAAGGACTTGAGATCTCAACTATGGAGCTGGAATACAAGGGTTCTTGGAAAAGATTGCCTCTGCTTTCCTGAGAAAGGGTGATAGTTTGGTTGAAACAGTCTCACAAGGGTTTTGTGTAACCTGAGAACTATCTAGAGGCCTGTGCCCATTTTGAAGAATCCAGGATTATGGTTAAATTTAGTAAAACTTTTAACTTGTATCCTTATCTGGAGAGAGAAAATAAAATTCTTTAAACGAATATGCTCTTGTGTTTGGTTAATGGAAATAAGCATTGAACCATGGGTACAATCATGTCTACAAGGGTCAAACTCCAGGGCCAGAGAGCAAATGGAGGGCAGATCGCATACTTGTACATTTTGCAGGCATTTCTAAATGGCTGTATACACTAAAGCACAGGTTCTTTGATTTGTGAGATTAGTAAATACGATTAGGGCTATACTTGATTTACATGTTTTTAATGTTCAACCATAGAAAATTCTAGACTGGTCTAATGATACGTGGCCAAATCTGGTTTCATCCAACACTTCACGGTCTCCCCTGCCCCAATTTTAATACATGTTGTGTTAAGATTGTCTAACCTAAGAAAGATGGGACTTCACACTGGGCCGTTTATATTGTGCCTTCTAAGCTAGCTCTTCGTATTGACTCTGCATGGGATCCCCCTCCCCTTGAGTGTGTTGGACCTAGTGCTTCAAATAAACAGACCACAAAAGAGGGTAGGTCACTGAACATTAGACTCCTTGTTTATTCTCTTGCTAGTTCCCTTCATACCTGTTTCATTCCTTGGCTTGTGCACTTTGAAGAAGCAAGCTGTCAATGGGAAATGTCTGTGTAGCAAGGTGGACTCCGGCCAACCATGTGCTTGGAACTGGACCCTGCCAAGGACTGCGCGTGGAAGCAGATCCTTCCCCAGCCCTGTGGTCTGGAATCCCTGCTGACACCTTCATGTGTTAAGGAGACCTTGAAACAGGACCCATTTGAACTGTCCCTGGATTACTGACCTACAGAAAATAAGATTAAATGTTTTTCAAGTCACTGAGTTTTGGGGGTAATTACCCAGCAATAAATCCAGAGCTTCATAATCAAAAGCTCTATAGCTGTCTTGACAGGAATACCATTAACTCCATCAGTCCACTGACCTTCCTGAATCTGTCAGGGCATTCAAAACTAAGTGTGGCCCCTAGCCTACATTTCCAGACTTCCGTTGTGTCCCCCTTCATGCATTCGATTTAAACTTCAGAAACTAGGGGTGCCTGGATGGCTCAGTCGGATAAGCATCTGCCTTTGGCTCAGGTTATAATCTCAGGGTTTTGGGACTGGGCTCCAGATGGGGCTCCCTGCTCAGTGGGGAGTCTACTTCTGTCTCTCCCTCTGCCCCTCCTCTCTGCTCATGCTCTCTCTCAAATAATCTTAAAAAAAAACAAAAAAACCTTAAAACTGAACTTACCCCTTCCCCACCAAGGCTGCCTCCCCAGTCATTTCTATCCCAGGTATTGACACCTTCCGTCTAGTTACTCAGGCAGAAAATCTTGGGAACTACCCTTCACGTTTTGCTCTCCTTCCACGTGTGAAACGATTAGCAAATCCTATTGGTTCTGCCTTCAAAATACATCTGAAATTTGCCCCTCCATTGCTACCACTTTGCTGATCCAAACCATCATCCAAGCTTTGATTACTGGTCTTGCTACTACCACTCCCCTCTGTGATCTGTTATGCAGCTAGAGTGATGTAGAGAACTGAAGATCATGCCACTGTCCTCCCAAACAGCATGTCCCCACCTCACTTGGAGTAAAAGCCAGAGTCTGGCCTGCCCTATTTCCTCTTAATCTCTGACCTATCCCTTTTTCTTCCAGTCTCTTTCAGTCACCAGACTGTTCCTCCATCACTTGATCACTCCTACCTCAGAATCTTTGCACATGCTGTTTCCTCTGCCTGGAGTACCAATCCTAGACTCTTCAGATCTTTGCATGTTTCCCTCTCTTGTCTCAATCAGGTGTGTTTATTCAAATGTCATCTTCTCTGAGGACCTATCTAAAATCTTCCCTTTCTGTTCCCTTACCTTGTGTTTTTTTTCGTATTATCACTGCCTAAGTGATACATAGACAAACATACCCACACACACGCATTGTATATTTATATAGTATATTTATTGTTGGTACCCCCTCATTCCCCACCCCCATTAAACCAGGACTTCATGTACGTAGCAACTTTCCCTTCTTTGTCTATGGCCCCTCCAACAGCAAGTGGCACAGTGCCTGGCATGTGGGAGGCCACTCAGTATTTGCTAAATGAAAGAATGAATCACACACTTGTGGCTCGACTGTGCTAAGGCACTTGACATGCACACTTCGTTACTCATCACAACAGCCCAGTGAGGAAAGAACATGATTCTTATCCCAATTGCGCAGATGAGGGAGTGAGGCTCAGGGTGGTATGGTTCTCCAGCTCTATGTGAGACAACTGAGTCACAAACCCTGACCTGTTTGACTCCAAAGCCCCTCCTTTTCCCTTCCCAATGTACTGCCTTCTGCTAAAACAAGTATTTTCTATTCTCTGCATCCTCTGCAGTTTCCAGAGCTATTCCTTGCATACAGTAGGTGCTCAAAAAGGCAAAAAATGACCAAATGATTCCTTGAACTATCACAAACTGGCAGCATGAAGACACAATCCATTGCATAAATATTTATTGAGTACCTACCGGGTGCCAGACTCCGTTCTAGGTGCTGAGAATACAATAGTGGAAAAAAAATTACTGCCAATGTGGAAGATTAACTTGCCAGTGGAGGGAAGAACAATAAAACAATAATAGTATGTTATTTAATCGTTAACACAATGGAGAAAACTCAGTGTAGTGGGGGAAAGGAATAGAATTGGAAATGTAAAGGTGAGCAGTTGAGTACAGAGCTGAAATAGATCAGGGAGTAAGTGGTGTATCAGAGGGATAGTCTATTCCCAGGCCAGTGCAAAGGCCTTGAGGCAAAAACATGCCTGCTGGATGCTGTGTTTAGAGTAGAAAGGAGGCCAGCGTGGCTTTGAGTGGAAAATTGGAAGGTCTGGCCATAGCGGACTCATTTTCCTGCCTGGTAATAATGACTGTGGCTGAGCAACATCCATCCCTTTTGGCAGGTCATGTGCTTTCCAGGTCCCACAGTGGTCTACTTCCCTCTTTTACATACCTGCCCCTGCAGTAATAATCAGAGTAATGATGGCTGGCATTTATCGAGCACTTACTATGTGTTAATGGCGGTTTTTTACATGTAACGAAACATTCTTCCAACAACCTGTGAGGTAGGTTGTATTATCCATCTCATTTGACAACTGAAGCTGCAGTCTCGGAGAGGTAAAACAACTTGCCGAAGGTCAGCACAGCTGGGAAGCGTGGCTGAGCCAGGACTCGAACCCTGTCAGCCTGGCTCTTGAGTTTGTAACCTTTGGCTTAATTGCAGCCCATCACTTATAGACCATCTAAGACATAGGAAGGACTCAATTTCTGGCTCTTAAAAGTTTAAACGAAAAGTTCACATGCTTTTGCTGGACTTCCTTGTCAGTGAGATACTTCTGACAGAAGTAGCCCCAGATGCCCGCCAGCCAGGGGCCAAATAAGCCGCTGGGAGAGCTCCCATCCACCTTGTTTCTTGACTTTGCCGTTGCTGCTTCTGTGAGCACCAGGGCCCATGATAGGTCTTGGATGCCCAAACTCTGCATCCTGTCTCCCTAACTGCAGGCCCACCAAACATTTGACGCTTCAGTCTCACTTTACTTCTTTGTCCTCCTAGCTGAGAGATCTGGCAAATGACTTCACCTCTACAAGCCTCAGTTTCCTTATCTGTGAAATGGGGTTCATAACAATATCTACTTCAGAGAATTGTAAGGTTCAGTAAACTCATGTCTGCAAAGCATTTAGCCCAAGGCCTAGCAAATAGTAGGGACACATGCATATCCTGTGAAGAAACAAATCTTCCTGCCATATTGATATGGGAGGAGGTATGTGTTGGGGAACTATAAGAAGAATAAATGTGTTCATTGAATGCTTACCATGTGTAATATTCTGTTATTTATTATCTCTTTTAATCTATACCCCAACACTGCTTGTTTCTATCCCATTTTTAAAATTAATTAATTTATTTATTTTAAAGATTTTATTTATTTATTTGACAGAGAGAGAAAGAGGGAGAGCAAGAGAGCACAAGCAGGCGGACCTGCAGAGAGAAAGAGAGAAGCAGACTCCTTGCTGAGCAGGGAGCCCGATGCAGAGCTCAATCCCAGGACCCTGGGATCACGACCTGAGCTGAAGGCAGACACTTAACCAACTGAGCCACACAAGTGCCCCTTACTATCCCATTTTAAAGACAGGCAACTGAGACTCAGGGAAGCTTAGCAACTTACTTGAGGTGTCACACACCTTGGAAGTGACAGCTGGGATTTGAACTTCATCCTGGGCCCCAATTTCTATGCTCTACTGTCTTGCAAGAGCTTTTGCTTCAGACCCTCACCAACTGCATGAATGGAAACACAAGCATTTCTGGGAAGCTGTGGAGAAAGATAAGGGATTCACAGATCATATTCCAGAATTCAAGCCAGGAGGTGGTATTGTCTCCCCTGTACTTCACTCTTTGTTGGCTGGGAACAGAGCAATTTTATAAATGGTTCTGAGTCTGGGATTAGTCCTGCCTCCTGGCATTCAGCCAGCTCTTAGCTCCAGATCTCCCAACTATAAAATGGGTATAACATTACCTTCCTCTTGGGAATCTGTGAGGATCAAATGAGATATGTCGAAATGCTTAGTATAGCACTTGGCAGAAGTTAAGTATTCAATTAGTTATAACCATCTTCACTCGGGCAAAAAGGGATGAACTAGTGATGTAGACAACAATTTGGATGAATCCCAAGACACATGCCGAGTGAGGGAAACCAGTCTCAAACGGTTACATATTGTGTGGTCCTATTCATTTGACATTCTTGAAAAGGCAAAACTACAGTGATGGGGAACAGATGATCAGTGGTTGCCAGAGTTAGAGGGCAGGGGGTGGGAATATAAAGGAATAACACAAGGAAGCTGTGGGGTATCCTTATTGCGGTGATGGTTACATGAATTTATATATATGTTAAAGTCGTGAAACTGTACACCAAAAGAAAAATGAAAGTTAATTTTATTGTATGATAATATAAAAAATACTAACAACAAACATAGGCTCTGGAATTGGATTTCCTAGGTTTGAATCCTAGCTCTAGCCTTTA